CACTCATAGAAGTCAGAGGGATTTGCTGCTTGTGTTGATAAGTCCAGCTACTTCCTAGGTATCATTCCAGATACCATGTGGAACACAGAAATTTGTTTTCTGGCAACCATATCCTACACTCCCTGGCTTCTAGGTCCTGCATGGGTTGCTTGTGGGTAAGGTCCTGTGTCACATCAAGTACATTAGAAATATTTACCGCTGGGCCACGTGGCATTTACTTATGTACTTATGCATCTTTATTTGTAGCTGCAACTGCTGGGGCGATCAGAACTGACCTGGCTTGAAGCTGGCTATGTTAAAGCCCCACTTCACTGGGGGTTCCCTCAGCACATGTCCAGACTCGGGGTCCAGACACTCAAGGTGGAAGGTGCTGTTAGAGTTCATAGAGCCCTTCCCCTGCCTATCCCCACGCCCTGCCCACCTCAACCTACCACAACCCATCCAGACCTGGTTCAGTGAGCCTGAGGAATATCCTAGAACTTATCTGCGAGAACATCCTTGCTTCTTCCCAGGAGGGACCCTTGTTAATCATGGGATGGCTGATGTTGGTTGGCACCATCTGTACCGTATCTTCCACAGTCCTTAAAGAATCTGGGCCCATTGTTCTCTCCCTGTTCTCTAAAACTAAAATGGATCTCTCTTGGTCTTGCTTTGCTTGGCTCTGTCCTGGTTTTAGCATTGAACATCCCTCATCCCAGGAAACCCATCAGTCCTGGGCAATCAAGGCCCTAGAGACACAGATTCAAATATAGCTGTGTGTGTATGACATATATATGTATATATCTATGATACATATATGTAAAAAGGAAAACTACCAAAAACGTGATTATAATGGGAGGCTAACATATTTCTTGTCATCTTTGACAGGTCACGTAGGTACAAAGAAAATTTTAAAATAGACTTAACAATATAGTCAATAAATGTGTTTTCATCTATACAGCTAAATATTGTACTCCACAGAGAACCGACTTTTCTTTTTACCTCATTTCATAACATTGGCTCATCTTTCATGTGTCATTTATCTTGCTGAAGACAGAGGCAGTGTTTGGTATTACTTCCTTAAAATTCTTTCAGGCTGAAACTATGTCAATCAAGGTATATGGAATCAATTACTGGGGCTGTTTCTTTCTAGAGATTCATAATTCTATCCCAAGAATCTTGGGTGTGTCCTTGTACACAGTTCAAAATGCATACGCTGCAGAGAAAACCCTTTTGAAAGAAAAAATTTCTCATGGGCCCACGATTGACCTAAGTCACTTCTATTAAAATGTAACTTAAATATTATACTCATAAAGGCCAGTTCTAAACATTTGTCCTTTATAGCTTTTACATAGATAAACTGCCAAAACAAACAAATACAACTATCAAACTTTAAAATGTCAAATTAATGAAATAAATTCACTGCAACTAATAATACTGTTTTACTGGAACTAAAACACCATTTTGGGTTTAACAACAGAAAGATGTCGCCTCGGGTCTGGTCACTGCACAGTTTCATTTTCTGAATTTTGACTTCAACAATCTGAATGAAGACAATGCAAAAAGCATGCTGTTCAAAACAATATTAACATTAAAAATGTGTCTGGTTTAAGGTTCGACTATCAAAACCATCCAGGAGTGCCTACATAAATGAGGTGGCATTTCATACTAATAAGAATAGTAATAATCTCTAACATATATTGAACCTTACCATATGCTCCAATTCTTTCACATGTAATACCTCTAATCCTTTCAATATACCTGTGAAATCAATACCACATATTATCACAAGAGGAAACTGAGAAACAGAGAGGTTGACTAACTTGCTTAAGTAGAAAAGTAGATCTGAAGTCAGGCAGTCTGGCTCCACTTAGCCATTGCACCAAATTACCTGCCATTGCTTTGGACATAAGGTAGTTATCGGAGGGTTACTAATTCTGCTTTAAATACAGATCTAATCCAATTACTGCTAAAACCAGCAAGAGCAACTTTTTCGTTGAGTTTTTACTACAACACCTGCTGCTAATAAATTGCTGGGACTCAGTCCATATGCAGGTGGATCTGGCAGGAAAGCTGTATTCTTTGCCAAAGCAGCAGTGGTCACCAGGGGCTGTTATGAGGTTGGCAAACCCGTGCCTATTTGAACCCACCTCTCTCTCCACATGACCCTGTTTCAATCCCCCTCCCTCACCCATGCTGTGACCCAGTCAGCAGGCCCACCCTGGGCTCACAAGGGAAGATACAGAGGGTTAGACTCAGCATTGATTTGGAGGGGACCATCAAGATGACCCAAGACACATTTCTATTATTCATTATTTAAAGTTATCATTGTAATTAGAGAAGACACAAAAGATCTCACAAAAGACATATATCCTCAGAACCTCAGGGACCTGAGAGACCTGTGACCATGTGAGTTCACATGGAGGAATCCCATAAAAAAACAACTGAAGACAACCCCTCCTTGTGTCTGACGAGGATATGATTGAAAACTTCATTCCAAACACTGTATCATATTTGAAAAAAATTCCTTGCTGCTGTTACGAGTCAAGAATTATTGTGTTTTCCTTAAGAGATTTTTATTTTATGTTTTTATGTTCTGGACATGTGATGTTTTGTGTTTGTGCTTTTCCTGCACAGCTCGTAACACAATTTGTAATTATATATTCATTGGAGATATTTCTTCATGAATGTCTGTTTCTTGCATTTGTCTGTAAATGCCACCAGGGCAGAGACCATGTCTGTGTTTCACAGAAAATGACACATAGTAGGTGCTCACTGAATGTTTGTTGATTGAACAAGTGAGTGAATGAGTCAACAAATAAATGAAACATATGTGCCATGGGCTGGTCAACCTCCCTTTTTGCATGAGCTACTAGAAAGTTGAGAGCTAGATTTGTTTCCACCTCATGAAAGGTGTAGGGGATCTTATGCTTATATTTTTGTATTAGTCTCATTCTTAATTCCATTTATGTCTCTACTCCTTGTTTCCTTTTTTTCTTTCCCATCTACTTCTTAGTCTGCCTTGCTATATTTTATGAATTCCTGTAAACTGTCTTAAATCCCTTGTGAAACAAGGGATAATATATTTATCAAAGTCTTTTTGTGTGTGTGTGCGCGCGCATGTGCGCATGTATATATTTAAAATCTTAACATTAAATTCTCTGCCAACAAACACATTTAATCACCTGCAAACTCTTAAGAATAGCTGAGGCTCACTAATTTGAGCACTATAATAACATTGAAAGCAAATTCAGTCCACGCCTAGAAACTACATGTGCTGTGTCATTTCAGGCAGTGTTGTGTAGTATGTATGTGACTAGTACATTTCTAACGGGGCTAAGCAGTTGGATGGGCAAGAAAGAATATAGGGCTTGCTACAGAAATGTTATGGATTTTGGATCAAAGAATGTTTTATTGTTAGTGGTGCTCCAAAATGTATTGACAGCATACTAATACTGAAAAGTTTGCTTTCACTGTTCCCTATTGGGGGTGGTGCTTTGGGCAAGATCCTGGTCCACAGGCATTGAGAAATGTCTGATCATGTTACAGAATGAAGGTACAAAGTGAGCATAGCAAATGGTCTAACCCCCTTTTTAAAATCTCTAACATTTATTATTCATATGTTAGTGGGCAGACGGCTTGCAGTCTGATACTTTAGTTACCTTCTCTGATCTTATTCATTTAAAACACTTTCATTTCGAATGTTGACCAACTATTTTTCCCTTAAAATGAAACATCATTTTCAAATCCCATTCATGAGGCCATCTCTTACTACCCTAGTTAAATATCTCATGTATCGCAGCTGGACCCACACACTAGATATGAAAAGAGGGGAGTCCACTCTCTCCAATCATTTGCTCCCCTTCTTTAAGGTTACTCACAAAACACTAAATGTCCATTTCAGAAACTGAGATTTTATTTCTGTTATTTATAAGGCTCATTTGAGTCCATTGAATTTTAGGTGACAAACTGCCAGAGGAGGGAAGAGTGGGTGTAAAGAAACAGACGGGTAATAATCATGTGCCACAGATAAATGACAAATTTTTAAAAGAATTTGATAGGGTGTGGGCTGGGGCTTTTTTCCTTCTCTCCCCCTCCTTTATTTTGGGGGTGGGGTGGGGGTGGAAAGCAAGGGTGGAGATTAGAGAAGAAAAAGAAGGGGGAGTAAAGGGAAGACAATAGGCTAGACCCTGAGCGCCTGCTCAGCATCCTAAAGGAGCCTGCCCCTTCCACCCCTCCCCCACAGCAGGTAGGCTGTGGTCGCGATTTCAAAACAAGCAGACGTAGGCCTCCACCTCCCGCCTCTGGACTATCGAGGGTGGCCTCCACCAGGGGTGCGGGAGAGGAGGAAAGGCACGGGAAGAGAAGGGAGGGAAGATGGAAGCTAAGACATGAAGAGATTGTCAAGACCTCCTAGGGGACAGTGGCCTTTTTCCCTCCAAAGTAGTGGAGTCGCGTAAAAAATCCAAGCCCACCGGGACCCGCTCACTTCACAGCTTCACTGTTCCAAATGCAGGCGGCTGCCAACGCCCCACCTGCTCTCGGGGCAGCTGCGGGGAAGCGCCGTGACCCGGAGCTGGAGAGGCCCGGGGAGCGCGCTCAGCCCAGCCAGGCGCGCCCGCACCGCTGCCCCGGAGGGCGGCGGCCAAGCCGGAAGGGGAAGGAGGGGCCGCTGCAAAGCGAAGCTGCTACCCGCTAGCCCAGCGTTGAAGAAAGCTCCACCTGTCAAGCGTTGCGCTCAGGGCGAGCGGGTCCAGCCGTCCCCAGGCCGAGGCCAGGGCTCAGCAGCCCGGCTCTCCAAAGAACCTCCAACGTTACATCATCAACAGAAACCTTTAGCCATAAAACAGCCGCGGGGAAGGGCTGCATCGCAGACGCACTTACTAACAGATGCTTGCCGATCTGGACCATCCAGCTCCGGCACAGTGGAAGGATGCTGTAAGGTCTCAAATTCCATTAAAATAAACAACACCGAGGCAAGCCCATTGGGCTCACGGTGCCCATTCCGGAGACGGGCTTACCTTCTGCACGGCTCTTTATCCATCTCTAGGCTTCCACTGTAGGCTGTTGTTTTTGTTTTGCTCGGTTGATTTTTTTTTTTTTTTTGCTTCTTTTTTTGGATCTGCTTAATAAATGCACCCAGCTAATCTGCAAAGCAGTGTTTTCTCCCCATCCTGCAGCCCCGCACTTGTCGGAGGTGCCTAGAATTCCACCAGCAATGCAGCTTCTGGCGTCACTGATGATTACACACAACAGCGGCTGCCTGCCACTCCTTGACAAAAGATGTTCGTTCCCGCTCGTCCCTTACAGCCCTGCCGTCAGAATTAAATCCATTTCCCGCACGAGGCTGGGAGGAAATGAGAAGCTCTCCTGGCTGTGCACGCTGACAAAAGGACACTTGGCGGTGCCTACAGCGCCCCCTCCAGAGGGCCGCTGTCTGGCCGCCCGGGGCCACGGTGCTGCAGTGCCCCCGCCCGCAGTGCCCGCCGCCGGCGCTGCCGCAGTCCCGCAGCCCCGGGCCTCTGCCCACGTCCACACCGGCACCACGAACGGCCGGGACAGCCAAGAGCCAATATGAGGATTTTGTTACTAGGAAGAAAATCTGAAACGTGAGCTCGCTTAGAGGGTAACCCCCAACACATCCAATAAAAAATAAAATAAAATGAGAATTTAGGATAATAAAATAAATAAAAGAAGGAAAAAAAGTCTTACACCTGGAATATGGTTTGTCAAGTGGAGGGGTCCAGCTCCCTGCATTGCTCACTACCTCCTCTTCTCACCCTTCTCCCCTCCCTGACTTGAGGGAGCAGGTATTTAGTGAATGGGGAACTGGGTGAAGAACCAGAATACTTGGCCACAGTCTCAGATATGCCCTTTGATGAAGTCGCTTAACCTCTTGGCACCTTATTGCCTTCCTCTGTAAAATGACAGTACCTAAGGCACCTCCCATTCCTTACACTCTCTGACAGTGTTTCTCAGAGAGTGGGGACATCAAGTGGCAGCTTGAGACTTCAGACCTCATCAATCTCCACCATCTCCCCCAAAATTCCCTAAATCAATATTCACTCCAAGTGTTTCTAAAAATGTGACTTCAGGGCAAGTACAGCTTCCAGAAAATCCTCTGGTTACTGTCCCTAACAAGATTATGGCCCCTCTGCTCCTTCTAGGTTCTGGGGCACCACAGCCCTTCGACATCCCCATAAAAACCACCAGACCCTACCACAGAGCTGCCACAGAACCAGAATCTCTGCAGATGAGCCTAGGAATTGGTATTGGTGACAAGCATCCCTAGTGATTCCTTTGCACACTGACATTTAAGAAATTCTACTCTATGCAAGTTACGACTGATGTGGGGTTGGGGGAAGGAGGGGAGAAGAGAGCGAGAGAGATGCCCTGATCTGTGTGGCTCAGTTGGTTGAGCATAGTTCTTCAAAGTGAAAGGTCACTGGTTCAATTCCGATCAGGACACATGTCTGGGTTGTGGGTTCAGTTCCCCTATTGGGGTGTGAACAAGAAGCAACCAATTGCTTCTTCCCTTTCCCCCTCCCTTCCTCTCTCTCTAAAAATTAATAATTGTTTTTAATTAAGGGAGAGAGAAAAATGCCTGGTATAGCAACCCTAGAACAACTACCTGGCATTCCAATTCAGATGCCAGAGCAAACATTTCCCTTCTGCTCTAGCTCCTCTAATCCCTTCATCCCCTATTCTCTGCACCTTCCTTCCCCCCTCAGAGCCTCTCACCCATTCTCATTTCATCTTCAGAGTCACTGTGTCACACAAGCACTTTTCCCATTCTCATGTCGAAACCTGCTAGAATTACAAGCAGCTCCACCACCAGGACCCAAAGTCTGTCTGGCCAGAACCAGGAAGTGAAGTGTTTATTGATACACTTTAGGTAGCTGTGCATTATCATTATGCGCTGGTTATACCTGAGAAGTTGGGGATGCCTTCTCCAGAGCCCTGAGATCACAGGTATGGAAGAGCCTTTTCTGAAATAGAACTCAAAAAGGAAGTAGAGAATTTTTGTTCAGTCCAGAAAGAGCAGGTTTCATAAATTCCCTCAGTCGTTTCCATCACTCAAAAATTTATATTCCTGGTGTATTATTTAGCTTTCTCAAACTGATAATAGCAAACTCTTCTTGGCTCCTGCCACTGTTCTGAGGGCTTCACATGCATTTTTATTAATTTAGTCTTCAAGAGAACTCTGTGAGGATGGTACTATCATTGCCCCATTTTACAGATGAAGAGACTGAAGCACAGAGAGGATAGGTAACTTGCCCAAGGTTGCACAGCTAGTGTGTGGCTGAGCCCTATGATTAAGTACTATGTTAACTACTATGGTTTCAGAGCTTGAGCCCTGACCACTACCCCGCACATGACCTCTCAGAGGAGATAAAATGTGGACTTTAAAAAGCAGAATTAATTTAAGACACTGGTAAAGGGGATATGGCTGATATACTTTCCTTTCCCCAGAAAGTTATTGTGTTCACCTAGCCATTAGACTCTAAAAAAAAAAAAAAAAAAAAAAAATCCCTCCTTCTCCCAGATGCCCTCTGAATCTGACACCTGAATATTAAGAGTGCTGGGAAGAGTAGCACCATCCTGTGGCTTTAGGAGTTGTTCAAATGCCAAACAGAAGACAAGACTATTATATTAACTTCCATATTCATAGCCTACATGGAATTTTAGTTGAAGTTCCTAAAGTTCTCTCTCATCCAAGTCCAAATTCATGTTGAAATCCAATGAAAGAAACCGTCAGTGTAGCTGGCTTCACAGGTTGTGCTGGGAAGATCCCTAGAATTCAGAGGCCCCACTGCAGAAAGTCCAAGATGCCTGGCCCTTAACTAGGGACAGGGAAGCATAGGAGACTCTGTGTCAGACCCAGAAAATCAAATCACACTTGGCTAGTCCCCAGTGACCAATTTAAAATTAGATTTTCTGATTGATTTGCAATAAAATTATTTCTAATCTCTAAATCTCTTGAAAAAAATGTTTCTGGCTGGCAATAACTTGTAAAGAGAGCAGATGGCTGTGTAACAGACACCCACAATGTCCCCATCTCTTGGTGTTCATGCCCTGTGTAATGCCCTTCCCTTGGGTGCTGGCAGGATCTGCGACTTGCTCTTAACTAACAGAATACAGCAAAGGGGACAGGGTGTCAGTTCTGCAATTATATGTTGCTTCATCTTGCTTGCCGACTCTCTTGATTGCATTCTTGGCTTGAATGCTTTGATTAAGGAAATAACCATGTTAGGGAAACCTACATGTTGAGGAATTGAGGGTGACACCAGGCCAGATCCTTCCCCAGCCAAGCTGTCAGCTGAGACCACAGCCCAGGCCACCACTTTGGCTCCTGCCTTGAGAGAGACATTGAAGCTGAGGACCACCTAAGCCATGCTTGGGCTCAACTCCTCCCCAATAGAAACTGTAAGATAACAAACATGTTGTTTTAAGTTTCTAGCTTTGTAGTAACTTGCTACACAGCAGTAGATAACTAATAGAGTGCCTTAGCACTCTCCAGGCCCAGGCATGCTTACCGGTGACCTTCCCCGGGTGTGCTGCAAGTGCCGGAGGAATTGACACTCCAGGGAGCAACTCTCAACCAATGACCATCAGGAGTTAGTGGATAAACAGCCTGGGTCCCTCATTCCAGGTGCTGGGAGGACACTTATGTGGCCTGTTGTATGCAGTCTCCCAGAGGGCCTCAGCAGGACTGAGCCGCAGCTGCCCACAGCAGTAACCTGCTCAGTCACGCGTCTTTCGCAGGCTGCCTTCTTCCCTGTATCACTTTCCCACTCCCCTATTGGTGTTTTCTTTCCTCAAGTAAACTACACATCATGGCCTACTTGTAGAGGAATCCAATTTAAGACTGTAGATGGAAGAAAGACAATGTTTTTAGAGTAAGACCAATGATAAATTTTAAGTCTAGATCTCCTGCAGACCCCACTCTCTCAACAAGTAGAAGGTCAGCCAATCCTGTGGCCAACGCCTGCTGTGGAAGGAGAACAGGGAGTCCAAGGTTGGGGCTGTAGTCTCCGTCCCAGGGACTGTGTGGCCTCAAGAAAGACCCTGACCCCAGGTCTCACTTCACAGCTGTAAAGTGAGGGCAGCAGTGACTACCCTCAGTTATGGGCTGAATTGTGTCCCCCCAACATCTCTATATTGAAGTCCTAACCCCTAGTACTTCAGAATGTGACTTTATTTGGAGTCAGGGTATTCAAAGAGATAATTAAGAAGTTGAAAAAATAAAGTCATATGAGTGGGCCCTAGTGTCTTTATAAGAAGAGGAAATGTGGCACAGACTGGCACAGAGGGAAGACCATGTAAAGACACAGGGAGAAGACGGCCACCCACAGCCGAGAAAGGCATCAGAAGAAACCAACCCTGCTGACACCTTGGTCTCTTGATCTCAGATACATTTTTGTTGTTCAAGCCATCCAGTCTGTGGTAGTTTGTTGTGGCAGCCCAGCCTCTCCTACCACCCAGGGTTGTCACGCAGGCAAGATGAAAGTACGTAACAGTCTTATGCCCTGGCCAGGTGGCTCAGTTAGTTGGAGCACCATCCTGTGTAGCGTGTGGGGACGCCACCTGTTGCGTAGTGGGCGCGTGAGGGGAGTACCGTCATGGGTCACTGCTTGTCCCGGGTCCAGGCAGCAACTGCCGCGGGGAGACAGAGAGCGTCGAGGGGCATGTGGCGCCGGGATCTGAGGATTACAGTCCACAGTCCGGGGCCAGCTGAGATGGGAGCGGGGGCTCTGAATCCCGCAGAGCCGGTCCCGAGGGTGTCATGGATGGTGGGAATAAACAGGAGTTATAGCAAACACTTCTCTGTTTGCCAGGAGAAGGGATAAGGAACATTCCTCTAGAGGGGAGGAAGGCCCCAGAGTCCCTTTGTTCAAAGGCTTTTATTGAAAAGGTTATCAGTAGGGCTAGGAAGCAGGAATGCACAGGTTATCCCATTATATCATTATGTTAATGTTTACAGAGAATAGGTGATGTTTTGAAGAAAACAAATGGCAGGAACACACTGATTTACATGGGTCGGAGAGGAGACTAGTAAATGAGAGAGACTAAAGATGAGAGCTTAGTAAACATAAGAGTGCCTAAGGGTAAAGTGTTAGGGTCTGTGAATAATGTAAATTTCTTTCCCAGCATGAGGTGGCTATAGCTTCTCAGGGAAGAACAAAGCACACTTTAAAGAATTTACGTTTAGGCCTGATTTCCTTGGGAACCGCCAGATCTGGTTTAGGACTGACCTCAGTATTGTTTCAGGTCTGAGCGAGGCAGGGGTAGGGAGCTGCCAAGAGACAAGGAGACTTTTTTC